CAAAACCCCAAAACCCCAAAACCCCAAAACCCCAAAACCCCAAAACCCCGTAAAGGGGAATCGGATAGAGTTGTAAAAGGTATGAGAATATTTTAATTAATGAAATAAATCTCTTATCCTTTTAATAAATTTAAACTATTATCCCAATTGAAGCAAATTTCAAATGATCTCGAGTAACCTTATCATTGAACAAAGTAAGAATACTAAAGAAAACTCTAGAGAAAAGACTCTCTCAAAGATAAAACTTACAAAATCTGTCTTTTCATAGAGTGTACCTGTTATTATCCAATCAATCATTTTATGCTCTTAATATATTGTGGATCTATACTATAGCGGATATGACCCAGATCCATCAGTAATTGCTGGAGTAGGGTTCAGCTCTACCTTTACTAATATAATATTTTTTGCAGTTTGCTTTGGATTTAATGGGCTTCTTTTATCGCTTGTTTCATAATCTATTGGCGCAGGGAATCTGAGATAAGCAGGTATTTATGTGAATAGAGCTAGAGTTATTATTGCAGCTTGGCTGCCTATCGCAATATTTCTCTCATTTTTTGTTGAAAGTATGATCAAAGGTATTGGTATAGATTCTAAGACTGCAAAAAATGCATAATTATTTACTACTGGTTCAATCCCATACTGGATTGCATTTATGTACTTTGATATTGCAAGATAATATTTATATGCTTTTAATAAGTCATTCATCTGCACTTGCATTTTATGCATTCAGGCAGTCTGCCATATAATACTCTGTTAAATTGCCATTGTAAATCTAGGGCTGCCATTTTATTATATAAGTTATTTAGCAAGTCTTGAACAATGTACGAGCGTAATAATTATCCATATCTATCTAAAATGCTCTCCTTAATACAAGGAATTCTGGTTCTTTGGAGTAAAAGAAACATTTTAAAATCTGGGTGACTATACCAAACTTGCGATTCCAGGGGCTATAATGTATGCATTGGAATATGCTGGATATGAAGTGCTTTGTATGATCTCTGGTTATATCTCAGTAACTGCGAACGCTGCTTAATTCATCATACTTTCTACAAATGTAATGTTTTATATGATCCCTTAAGGAATCGGTTTGGCTAATACTGCGATTGTTGGGAAAAGTATTGGCAAAATGTAGAGTAACGTAGCAAAAGCTCAATCTAATTATATAATCAAACTTAGTTATGTATTTGCTCTTTTAATGGCAAGCATTTAATTCTCACTTAGATATTAAATCGCTCGAATATTTACCTCCAATCCTGAGGTCATTGAAATTATTGTATATTCAACTCAAGTTTCTTGCATATCACTTGCTCTTGATTTTATATATTGCGTTTAATAAGGATCAATCAGAGCCTTGACAAAATTCAATCATGCTATAATAGGGGGATTTGTTGCATTTTATGGTTTTGCTAGTCCACTTGGATATATTTTTGCAATTTATTTAGAACTTGGAGTTCTTGGATTGTGGTTAGGATTAACAATTGGACAGATGATTGTTATTTCATACTATTAATATCTTCTAAACTGGGGGTTTGATTGGGAAAAGATTACTAAGGAATGTTTTGAGAGATAGGAATAAGATCAAAATGATGATAAAGGAAATGAAAATTTATTAGAGGCATCTAAAATCTAGCTCTCTACTAGAAAATGTAGTGATTCTATTGAGATGCATTAAGATCTATCATTAGGTTCAAAAATATTTGATAATCAATAATGAATAATTTAAGCATTGAGTAGTACTCATTTATCAATCTTAACTTTAGATTAATTTATATTTTTCATGGCTTTTTTAAAAAAATTTTCATCAAGGGGTTTTGGGGTTTTGGGGTTTTGGGG